TCGGTTTTTTGATGTATGCTTCCACGCATCAATCGCAGATACAACTGAGGGACACACGCTTGGAATCGGAAGCCGAGCTCAGCCGCTTTCGGAAGCGCGAGGCAAGGGTCTTCTTGCCATTTCTTGCCTGCGGCTCTTTGAGCTATGGGGCAGAGCACAAGCAGATAGATCTGGTCTTGCGTCGCGGAACGGGCAGGGCTAGCGAGAGTATGAACACATGTGAAAGAATGTTGTTTAAGCGAAATGGAGAAATGAACACGCTGCAACCCTTAAAAAGCAAACTCGCAATGCTTTCGACACCTTTGCGCCAAAATTTTGGCCAGGGTTCGATCCGGTCCAGGTTTAATCCAGATATGGTCAAGGGACAAAGTGTGAAGGGACAAAGCGTGTTTGTTCCATCGCAAGGCAATGGAATTGTCAAACAAATTCAAGGATACGCGGAAGCACTGCCTCCTATCATCCATCACGCACTTTTTGCACTCCTTCCTGCCTTCTGTTGGGCCTGATGTTTGGTTTGCTTGCCGGGGAGATTGATTCCAAGTCGCAAGTCGCTCTCAAATAACTTCCCAAGAGTCAATCAGGTATCTCAGACCTGCCCATAGGAGCACCAGCAATTGCAAAGGCTGGAAGCAGTTCGCCGGAGGGAGCAGATGGAGCGAATGGTGACACTGGTCTTCAACCAAGTGAAGGCTCACCAATGGGAACCGGAGAGACATGCAAGCGTGGTGTGTTGATGACAGCATGGAGGGTTCAATGTGCTGCGAGTTGTTTGGTCCGTGTTTGAAGTTGATGTGTTATGGCATATGATATGCGCATACTCATGTGTATGCAACATGTATGAAAAATGTTGTTTGTAGCCTGTTATAACATGTTGACCGCGTAAAACTAGTGGCTGCTGTATGGTGTGCTTGGCTGTGCATGTTGTGCACAATGATGCACTCATCACGTTGTTTTGAAGGGGTTCGAATAAGGGAGGATTGATTCATAAGTACCGTAAAATACCAGAATTATTTCCTAGATGCTTGCTCGAGTGCATGACTGCCCCTGTCTTTGCTTAGTTTGTGTTGGCTTGTGTCTATGATTTTGTGTGAGCAACGATGGTACTTTTTGTGTTCCACTACAGTCGTGGAACAATGACACTTCCACAGCGACCTGGTAGAATGAGAGACTTCGCCACCAAAACAGTGTCCGCGCAAACCCTCATAAATTCCAGCGGTAGTTGATTTGAGTGCTGTGCGTTTCCGTGTTGTTGCGTCTTTTTGCGTTTGTGTTTTGTGTGTTTGTTTGTGCTAGTGTGTGTGTGTGTGGTGTTGTGTCTGTGTGTGTGTGTGTGTGTGTGTGTGTGTGTGTGTGTGTGTGTGTGTGTGTGTGTGTGTGTGTGTGTGTGTGTGTGTGTCTGTGTCTGTGTCTGTGTCTGTGTCTGTGTCTGTGTCTGTGTCTGTGTCTGTGTCTGTGTCTGTGTCTGTGTGTGTGTCTGTGTCTGTGTCTGTGTCTGTGTCTGTGTCTGTGTCTGTGTCTGTGTCTGTGTCTGTGTCTGTGTCTGTGTCTGTGTCTGTGTCTGTGTCTGTGTCTGTGTCTGTGTCTGTGTCTGTGTCTGTGTCTGTGTCTGTCTGTGTCTGTGTCTGTGTCTGTGTCTGTGTCTGTGTCTGTGTCTGTGTCTGTGTCTGTGTCTGTGTCTGTCTGTGTCTGTGTCTGTGTCTGTGTCTGTGTCTGTGTCTGTGTCTGTGTCTGTGTCTGTGTCTGTGTCTGTGTCTGTGTCTGTGTCTGTGTCTGTGTCTGTGTCTGTGTCTGTGTCTGTGTCTGTGTCTGTGTCTGTGTCTGTGTCTGTGTCTGTGTCTGTGTCTGTGTCTGTGTCTGTGTCTGTGTCTGTGTCTGTGTCTGTGTCTGTGTCTGTGTCTGTGTCTGTGTCTGTGTCTGTGTCTGTGTCTGTGTCTGTGTCTGTGTCTGTGTCTGTGTCTGTGTCTGTGTCTGTGTCTGTGTCTGTGTCTGTGTCTGTGTCTGTGTCTGTGTCTGTGTCTGTGTCTGTGTCTGTGTCTGTGTCTGTGTCTGTGTCTGTGTCTGTGTCTGTGTCTGTGTCTGTGTCTGTGTCTGTGTCTGTGTCTGTGTCTGTGTCTGTGTCTGTGTCTGTGTCTGTGTCTGTGTCTGTGTCTGTGTCTGTGTCTGTGTCTGTGTCTGTGTCTGTGTCTGTGTCTGTGTCTGTGTCTGTGTCTGTGTCTGTGTCTGTGTCTGTGTCTGTGTCTGTGTCTGTGTCTGTGTCTGTGTCTGTGTCTGTGTCTGTGTCTGTGTCTGTGTCTGTGTCTGTGTCTGTGTCTGTGTCTGTGTCTGTGTCTGTGTCTGTGTCTGTGTCTGTGTCTGTGTCTGTGTCTGTGTCTGTGTCTGTGTCTGTGTCTGTGTCTGTGTGTGTGTGTGTGTGTGTGTGTGTGTGTGTGTGTGTGTGTGTGTGTGTGTGTGTGTGTGTGTGTGTGTGTGTGTGTGTGTGTGTGTGTGTGTGTGTGTGTGTGTGTGTGTGTGTGTGTGTGTGTGTGTGTGTGTGTGTGTGTGTGTGTGTGTGTGTGTGTGTGTGTGTGTGTGTGTGTGTGTGTGTGTGTGTGTGTGTGTGTGTGTGTGTGTGTGTGTGTGTGTGTGTGTTTGGTGCTTGCGTGCTTGTGTGTGTGTGGGACAGCTTTGGGCACAGTCGGCAACCCCTATTTTGTGTCTAGGTGATGGGTGTTTCCTTTTGCGCAACGCCCACAATTTGACGGAACACAACGCCAGTTTGCTTCGAGGAGCAGTATGTTCTTGGCGTTCGGCCCTGATTTGCAAGCATTTCTGGATGCTAACGATGCTCAGGTGACTGACTCCGTCAAAACAATGTGTTTGAATTGTTTGCCATGAGACAAGTGGGCACACACACTTGCAAGGCGCCTTTGCTACTCGCCAAGTCTGAACTGAGTCGTCCTGGCGATGCAAAGGACATCCTTGCCTGTGCCCAGGCAGGAGCCACTAAAGTCCAACGTGCGGCCGACACAGAATGGGGAAAAACAGAGAAGAGAAGTAGAGAGAGAGAGAGAGGGTTGGATGTTGGGATATATTTGGAGAGGTGGATTTCACTCCTGTTGCGCAAGTTTCTTCACACCAGACTGCACGCTCTTGCGCCAGGGTCGAATCCAGCAGTTGTGGTCTTTGCTCAGCGGATATCAGACCGAAATGCAGAAGCAGTTCGATGTTTGTCCTGACAGCGCACGCAGCGCGCGTAGGGCAGAGAAGGCATTCCGGGGGACCATGAGCGAGCCGGCGGCTGACGCAGAGAGCCAAAGCTCCGCGTCTGCTTCGGGGTCTCCACATTTCCCAGATGCTAAGCAACGGGAGGATTTCCACCAGAGACGGAGGACAGGGTTGGTTGCAATATTTGCTTAAACAACCTCACCCTGCCCCCGTGGCAGGGAAATCAGGGTGTTTAAAGCAACAATGGATTCAAACCGAGGCGGCAACAAGGGTTTCCAGCCCCAACCCTTACGGAGGACGAAAGATTCAAACTGGACAGAGTCCTGTGTCGCATTGATGGAAGCTTCCTGCATACAGCTTGGAGTGGATGTTGACGCTGCTCCGTGGAAGCTACGATGGATCAGGACGCGCGGTCTGTCATCGCAATGCAGTTTGCCCGGCAAGCGACCCAAAACAGAAAGAAGCGCCCATCAGAACCACGCGTCCAGAGTGCCGCCAGCGCACACGAACTGAATATATTTGTGTATGTGTATGTATATGTATTTGCAATAGACACATGCTGCATTATAATTAATTATAACTCTACACAAAGCCCTTCGTAGGTCTTGCGAAAGATCTCTTGCTTGAAGATCCTGTGCAGCTTGCAGGGGGTCTTTGCATAAGGTCCTTTGAAGTTCTCGGGAAAATGTTTGTTTGCAGAAAGGCGTGCGCAAGATCTCTTCACCAGCCTGCGCAAACCGTCCAGTGCTTAATGTCTCATTAGAGGACCGTTGTTGGGCAGGATCCCCCGGCCGGATCTTCGCGAGACCTTTATGCCAGATCTGTTTGCAGGATCCTGAAGCGATCTCTGCGCAATACCGTTTGCTAAACTGGCCTAAATTAGATCCGGGATTCGCGCAACTCCGTGCAAGATCCCCTTAGAGAATCTTGTCGGGGCCTCTGCGCGGTGAAGGCTTCCTATTTGAGGGCTGGTGGCCTGTAGGGTTAGGAGGTGTCCGACATTCGTGTGTTTCAAGTCCATTTGTACATGCAAAGCAGAAAGTTTTCGCCGCGCGACTGTCGCGCTTGCTGTGCCAATAGGGGCCCGCGAGACGGAGTGATTGGGATGACTTCGGAAGTGCTACGCTTCGCGCACCTTGCGCAGACTCCAGCTTTTGACAGGTCGACGTGTCATTTTGCTGCGCACGCACGGTGTTTTGAGAGGTGTCGTTGCTTCGACTCGAGGAGCCGGTTGCACAAGGGGCCGCTTGAATGCCAATTTTGTTTCCCTTGTTTTGCAGTCAGCTTGTTGTGGCGCTCGCAAACCTCACCAAAATTGGCCGGGGTTCGCGACAAGCGCAATACTTTGGAAATGCTGATTTTAGCTCATGTCGTGGCGGGCGCGGCGCTTTGAAGATGGAGGGCCAATTATTGATAAGTTTGTGGCACGCGCTTCACTTTGGAGCTTATCGTGGCAAATAAAGCATCCGAATCACATCCCCCAAAGACGCCCCAGCGACACCCTCAAGGACAAGCCAACGGCTCACTCTGTATTCTAAAGTACTGCACAAAACGACTGCCTTGTCCATCAAAGCGCGTTGCCTGAGATGAAATCTGCGCGTTGCGCTCCAAAGTGTTGCACGTGTCACGGCGTTCATCATGTTCTCCGGTGGATCTTGGGGTCGGGGAAAATCAGATGTCACGAACCAACAACAGCCTGACTTGCTCGCAACTTCTGTGACACGGACGCATTATGTCCTTGCAACCGGCTAAAGATTTCATTGCTAGGTAGTCAGCGCGCTTGTTCCTCATTTCGTGCGATGCGTGGCGCGATTGCGTAGCTGAAGCCCATTTTGTCTTTGTCGCAAGTGTGATGCCCGCGGATTGCTCAAGCTCAATGTCCACCCAAAGGGCGCCGCAGCACTTCTTTTGCATTGTGAAACGCTGCGCTTTTCACAGCTCGGGCCCGGCTGAAATTCTAAGAATCTCCGACCATCGGTTGCGATCTGTTGCGAAGCTGGCTTATTCTGTATGGGGGCCAACAGACGGAATTTGGAGGGTTTTGTCTGGGACCACGCTGGTCACTGGTGCCCTGTAGGAGCAAGCTTTGAGAGGCGGTGGCCCGAAATCGGCGCATCTTAGGGGATGACGGATCTCAACAATTTCATGTTTGACGAGAAAGATCGGGGCCGTTCATCAGAAATGTGCGGATTAGATTTTGACAGAAGAAACCCGAAGCATTTCATTTGAAATGGTCAGATCGCCGTTTGGGATTTGATTGCAGCAAATTTCACCTTCTGAAATAGTTTCCTGAGATCAGAGGATTTCGACTTTGCATTGGTGAATTGGGGGAGTTCAGATGAAATCGGCGGAACTCTGTTCTTCAAGATTGACATCTTGGTTCGGTGGAAATGATTGGTAATCTAGCGGATTAGGTTTCCTAGAAAGTTGTCAACGCATTCGTCTAGTCTCAGCGGATATGATTACGCAATGGCATGTTCACAGC